ATTCTACACCGGCGGGTCCCGGAAGGACGAAGAATTTCCCAATTTCCCAAAACCCCCAACTTTTTTTTTAATTTCTTTATTCCAAATCCCTCAATTTCTTAACCGCTCAGCAGAATCTTCAATCTTCAACCTCACGCTTCCAATTCAAAAAATACAATGCCCTCGTCTCCCCAAATCACACTCCGAAGCAAGCGATCAGGAGGGTAGAAAGGGAATTGGAAAGAAAAAATTGTTGCAGTATGATGATTAATGCGTTGGCCTCCTCTGCTTTTCTGCTTTGCAAAAACAAAAGGTGATTGCTTGATTGGTTAATTGATTGCTTTTTTGATTGGGGTTTTATATAATTCAAGGTTGTTCAATCGGTTTCTAGGGTTTGGGGTTGTCGTTTTTGCTGTGGTGATTGCAATTTATCTTGAATTTTCGGATTTTGGATGGTGCTTTTTGAGGTTTTTTGTGGGTGGTGGCAGGAATTGGACGATGCTGTTGGAATTTTTGAAGTGGGATTTAATGGGGGTTTTGCTTTGATTGGTAATTTTGTATGGCGAGCGATAAAGTTAGGGTCTTGGTATTGATTTTTGCTGAATTTATGTGTTTTCTTTCTGTTAATTTTGATTTGTAAACATATATTATTTTTTCCACTGTTGGAAATGTGGTTATATGCAGTATTAGTTAGTTGTGATTCTCATAATTATGCGCGAAAGTTCAAGGTTTAGTGTTTTATTGCGTGATTGATGGTTATCTGAATTTGATCATGATCTAATAGATAATTGTGTACTAAAAAAATAGTTATAAGTTAACTGTTGTAACGGGCATGTTTCGATTTTGCGTATAAAAGTTTCTGAGTTACTGTTGGTGGTGGTTTTGGTGGTTGAAGATTTTGGAGCAAAGTGAAGCGTTATGAGGAGGAGTAGTAGTGAAACGAGGAGGAGGGGTAAACCTTCGTGGGAATTTGGAAAGGTAATGAAGTGTTTCCGTTCGGGAGAGCAATTAAGAGCGGCGGATGAAATGGTTCCTTGGGAAAATGAATCCCTGGCAACCAAGGATGATAAATTAAGTGAGTCTTCGTCGCGAGCTGGGGAGGCTACAAAGAAACCACATACTGGCAATATAGAAGAAGCTGAATCATCTCTGCGTGAGAGTGGTTGTTTGAACTATGAGGTGTGTTTACTCTAGAACCTGCCTATCTGTGGTTATGCAAACCTTTTTAATGGTGACCTTGGAAGTTGTTTGTTTATCTTAAAGCTAAAATTTGAATTTTCAGGAAGCAAGAGCGCTATTAGGAAGATACGAATATCAAAAAGGAAACATAGAAGCTGCTTTACATGTATTTGAAGGAATAGATATTGGTGCATTGACTCCGAAGATAAAAATCACCCTTGCCAGAGGAGGTGAGCGTCGTAAAAGGCGCTCTCAAAGTTTTTCTACCCCGCCACTGTCTATAAATGCCGTCACTTTACTTCTGGAAGCAATATATCTCAAAGCAAAATCATTGGAAGCTCTTGGGAGGTTTAAAGGTATTAAGCTGATTTACAGATTTTTCATTCTTGTTTGCAGAATCTTGGTTGCTGTGAGGATGTATTTAATTTTAACCCGCTCACATGTGAGGTGTTTAAATTTTGGTCATTTTGAAAATCAGTATGTATTTATTTTGTAAGAGCATAAATCTTTTTTTTCAGACATTTTGTAACGTTGTTAGTTGTTACCAATTCAGTTCAAATGATGTTCTGTTATGCTTAAACATTATCTTGAATGTTCTACTTAGGACGGGTAAAATGAACGATGGAATCTGTGAACTTAAGTTGATAATTAGGCCATCATTGCATGGCTTATGTATATTTTTAATTATTCTTGCAGAAGCTGCTCAGTCTTGCAAAGTTGTTCTGGACATTGTTGAATCTTCACTTCCAGATGGCTTGCCTCAAAACTTTGGCGCTGACTGTAAATTGCAGGAGATCATAAGCAAGAGTGTCGAGTTGCTCCCAGAATTGTGGAAATTGTCTGATTGTCCGCATGAAGCTATCTTGTCTTACCGACAGGCTCTACTCCATCACTGGAACCTCGAGGTAGAAACTACTGCAAAGATTCAGAAGGACTTCGCTGTTTTGCTTCTGTATAGTGGGTGTGAAGGAAGCCCCCCAAACCTACGCTTCCAAATGGACAGTTCATTTGTACCCAAAAACAGTTTAGAAGAAGCTATTCTTCTGCTAATGATACTACTTAGAAAAGCTTCTCTTCGAAGAATTCAGTGGGATCCATCAATCTTGGACCATCTTTCTTTTGCTCTGTCTGTAGCAGGGGATACCATGGCTTTAGCTAATCAAGTTGAAGAACTACTCCCTGGGTTTATGGATAGGAAAGAAATATTTTACAAACTAGCTCTCTGCTACTATGGAGCAGGCGAGGATTCAGCTGCCTTAGATCTACTGAGGAAATTGTTGAGTAAGAGCGAGGATCCAATGTGTTTTCCAGCTTTGTTATTGGCATCGAAGATATGTGGGGAAAATCCCAGTCCCAGTCATGCGGAAGAAGGGGTAGGATTTGCTCGCAGAGCCCTTGAAAGTTTGGATGGTAAATGTGATCATTTGAAATGTACCGCCACTTGTTTGTTGGGCATATCACTTTCTGTGCATTCTAAATCAGCAGTTGCTGATTTTGAGAGAGTGACAAGACAGGATGAGGCACTTCAGGCCTTGGAAACTGCTGGGAGAATGACAATGAGTGACCCTATTGCTCTTTATCATCTCAGCCTGGAATATGCCGAGCAGAGAAAGTTGGATGCTGCACTTGATTGTGCAAAGAAAATGCTAAAGCTGGAAGGTGGTTGTAATATTAGAGGTTGGTTATTGTTGAGCAGAATACTATCAGCTCAGAAACGGTTTGTGGATGCTGAAACGATCATAGAGGCTGCTTTGGATCAGACAGGGAAATGGGAACAAGGAGAACTACTGAGAACCAAAGCCAAACTTCAAATTGCGCAGGGTCAGTTCAAAAATGCAATTGCAACCTATACTCAGCTTCTCGCTTTTGTTCAAGTTCAGAATAAAAGCTTTGGTTACGGGAAGAAGCCCCCAGAGGTACATTGTTTGATTACTTTACGCGTTTGGAGTCAAACTATACGAAAGATAGGGTTTCCCTTTTTTATCTCTACGACGGTTTTTGGGAGTGAATATTTTTTTTTCATTTACTTTCGATACTGAAATTATTCTGATTGTGTCATTACTACTCGTGAATCTCTGACCATATGATAGTTTTAAGGGTTTTATAACCAGTTAGGATGCTGGGACCTTGATGTGATGAGAGCAGGAAAGGGAATAAAGATTAAGTTGAAATATCATATTCATGTTACAAATTTTGATGAAGCTTTTGTTTTCATTGAAAGGAATAGGAGAAGTAGGTGTATAAATCTTGTCCTCAGATTAGGATGCGAGTGTCTGGTCATGAAGTTGTTTTCTTTTGATACACTGACATTAACGTTGGGATAATTATGCATCTGTTTTCTAAACACAGTTTTTTTTAGCTTAGCCTTAGCTTGCATTGATAAGATTTCAGATAATATTGTTCCGCTGCATTTAATCTTCTTTTGTTTTTGTTAATGACAGAGTACCGGAAATTTACCTGGAAGGTTGGACTTGGAAATATGGAATGATCTGGCATATTTTTATATAAATCTCTCACAATGGCGTGACGCGGAGGCTTGTCTTTCCAAATCTAAAGGCAGACGTGCTTTCTCTGCCAACAGATGCCACGCCACAGGTAAATTCAGACAATCACCGGGTTTGTGTTCTTTTTTCTTCCAATCAATTTCTTGATGTATCACAGTGCTCTATTTTCCTTGTCTAGGAAGGATTAGATCCCTCACTAAATAATTTGTTATCTTGGTTTTAAAGCATTAACAATTGAGAAAGAAATAGATGGATTTATGCACATTTGTGTTTGCGGAAACTTCTGCTGCTGTGTTGTGCTAATCATGTAGAACTTCGTGGATTTTGCAGGTTTACTTTATGAAAAGAAATGCCTCTATAAAGAATCTCTAAGAGCCTATTCAGAAGCTCTGGATATCGACCCCTCCCATGTACCAAGCTTGATCTCTATGGCTGCTGTCCTCAGACGTCTTGGCGATAGCTCACACCACTCTCACACAGTTGTCCGAAGCCTTCTGATGCATGCACTAAGTATTGATAGAACGAACCATTCTGCGTGGTATAACCTTGGTCTACTGTACAAATCTCAGGGTACGCCATCTTCTTCATTAGAGGCTGCTGAATGTTTTAAGGCTGCACTCTCTCTCGAAGAGTCTGCTCCCGTTGAACCCTTCAGATAGCCACACCTACATTTGTGCAAACCTTTCATTTCTGTCAACTTCAAACTTCTCCCCCATCCACATACTTCCTCTTAGATGATGAAAATGAAAATCCGATCTCGGATTTGGTTGAGTTAACCATTCTCAGGCTCTGTCATACGGCCGGATACAAATATAGATATAAGGAATCCCGGCCGCAACCGAAATATAGTAACGATTTTATACACTTTGGCACGCAAAAAGATTTCTTTCCCAATGCTGTCTTAATACTATAGTTGTAACTTTCGTATATTCTTTAATATACCTAATTTTCATATCATCTTTGGTTCGAGCCTTATGGAGTCTCTGGAGAAACCTTGGTTGGAAGGCTATTTCGGAGAGAGGTTTGCTGGGGTTAGGCTAGTCGGGCCAAGACGACTTGAACTTTTTTTTTTGTTTTCTTTGTTTTTACCACATCTGTTGTTCATAGTATTTGAACTCGGGACTTCTTCCAACAATGTAGAAATGGTCGCTCTGTTACTCGATGAAATTGTCATTTGTAACTCGAGTCTATAACAGTTGCATCTTTTTCTTTATGAATATGTTTATGTACAATGCCAAATTAAACATAAATATTACAAACAAACAATTATTTATGTGCTAATTGGTACAAGAATTGCATAATCTATTTCACAATGCCCATAATTATGAACCCTAGGTTTTAACATCTAGGGGAGACAACTCCTTTGTAAGCAGGCTGAACATTGTTGCATTCAGCTCTTCCATTCTGCAGTTGAACACTTTGCAGCACGATCCCCTGACAAGGAACACTTTGGCTGCAGTTCAACGTTATCGCGTCGCCGGAAGCACTCGTTCCTCTTATGTTTTGGTACAACACATTTTTCACTTGAACCGCCGATTTCTGCCATAACGAAATAGACGATCAAGAAGTGATTAAGGTTTGTCTGGGGACTAATTAACGAAATGCGTAAGAACTAGTTAAATTAATTAATTACCTGTTGTTTGCAATCTTTGGTTTTGTGGTCACAGTAGTTCTGGTCGATGATGATGGGGTTGGTGACATCGTTCATTTGCACATTCTGGAAAACAATGTTGGTTACACTGCCTGAGCCTCCCTTCCACGTCTTGATCCGGAGTCCATTGGAGGTTCCTGAAAGCTTAGCTCCATTCACAAATACTCCTGAAACATGATCTTCTGAGCCGTCTTCTCCCAAGCTACCGATACTGATCACAAAATTAAAACAGCCGTTAATATATATTGGTATATTTACTAATCAGCTGTTATTGACACTATAAAAAGTCATCCCGCACTTTTCTCGACATAAAAAACATTAATAATATGTTGACAAGAGGAATTTAGGATGATTTGTCGAACAATTTGGAGACTAGGGTTGGAAATTACCTGATTCCATGGCCTGGTCCACAAGTAATGTCTGTGGCTTGAACTCTTTGGGACCCACTCACAATAGAAATACAGTCATCACCTTCACAATACAAATTAGAAACCATAAGATTGTTAATTTTATGCATAATATGGTTTAGTTTTTTTATCTTAATGTGTTTGATCGATCATATGTATTTATCAAACGCGAGAGACCAAAATGATGACTTTTGAAAGCGTCATGAACTATTTGTCACACCTGTTCCTATAACCGAGCTCGAGATAGTGATGTTCTGGGTATTTGTCACATGAATTCCGTCCGTATTAGGGCTGTCCTCTGGTGCAGTTACCGTGAGACGGGAAGCTTGAACGTTGATGCAGTTTTGGAATATGACATGGATTTGTTGTGCGTCTTGGATATTCAGATTCTTCACCACCAAGTTATTGCACCTGTTGAAGGTCACAGCCTGCACATTACATGTACAAATTTTAATTAGTTCCAGAAATAATGGTGCTTAATTAATTAAAATGCACATACATATTCAGATTAGAGTACGTATGTACACGTACTGTGGGGGCGTATGTACCGCAAGGGGGCTGTAAATCAATGAAAGAGATTGTAATTAGTACAGGGTTAGTATTAGTGAGAGCTAATTATTTGTTTAATTAGAACGTACCTGAGGTTTTATTTTGCATGAGTTTTTCCACCAGATGTTTCCATTGCCATTGATGGTTCCAGGACCAACAACTAGCAAGTTTTGGACATTGTCAAAGATGAGCCAGTGGTCTATGTCTTTGTAGATTGATCGGTCTTCTGATGCTTCTATGGTTCCATAAATCTGAATTTTTCCAAATATTAAGCAATATTAATTATTATATAATCGTCAAAGTTTATAGTCCGGAATTACATTTAAAGATAATTACATAGATGATCCGAATTAATTATTACCTGCAGTGTAAGTTGAGATTTGCATGGGCCTGAGAATTCAATCGGCCTAACAAGATAGTTCTTCCGTGGTACCACAAGAACCATAGCTCCACTGGAAGAACAAGCTGCCTTCCATGCCTTCACAAATGCCTAAACCAACACATACAAAAAATTAAACAATATTATATTCATACATAAACTTTAAACTTTTGGTTCAACCAAATTAAACGCTTAAGTAATGTTATTTGTATCACATTTACTCAATAAATAATAATGAGTTCGGTCCAAATAATAATAGTACTATTAATTTGTACCAAACATTATGGACACATCTTTCATAAAACAGAAATGTGACCAGAAATGTTGTTATAGTTAGCATCACCATATGAATATTCTAATATTCTAATATTATTAAGCCTATGAGTCCATCATCTGTTGTTTACCTGTGTGTCATCAGCACCATTCCCTTTAGCTCCAAAATCGTCGACGCTAATGGTTTTGGCCGGAGCTGATGATGTTGCTATCCCACCGGTGATTGTGTTGAGCTTCCTTGAACTGAAGAGCTGAGTTCTTGGCCTGATCAATTCCATGAACTTTAAACCTTCTATGGTGTCCGTGTATGAAGGATAAGCCCTAGAATTATAGCCGGACTCTTTATCATCAACATGGTCAACGTAACTATGAAGCGCGTTGACCTCCTGGAAACTACTACCAGAACATGAAGTTGTACTGAAGGAAACAACAAAAACAACAACAAATGACCACAACAACTGTGTTTTTAAAGCCATTGATGCTTTCTTTTTACTATTTAATTTGGTGTAAACAGCTGGTAATATATTTTTTTTTGGTGAGATACAAGATGGCTAGAGGCCTAGAAACACCTAACAAATCATCTTTCAAAAAGAACCAAATACTAAAAGAAGGGTCACGAAGGATAATAAACCCTAACTCGAGGCTGATGATATTTTTGAACAATGTGATGGGATGTTGGAAAATGGAAACTTAGAATTGTAGCTAGAAGTGTAAGGATTGGTGTGTTCAAGTGATGATGATTTGGTGAGAATGTCGTGGGATTTCCATTGGTATTTATAGGCAGCGGAAGAGAAGGGTATTGACGGTGATTGTTGTGTATTGTGTCGTCTTGGGCTCTTGAGGTATGGGTTCTCGGACATGAGAGATTCAGACGAAATGATCTCTTGGCCGACTCTATGACTTTCTGCGCCATGCATTGCATCCCTTATGTTACAACGTAAGTCGTTGCATGTATAAAATAATATATGAAAATAGATTCGGTTCAACTTTTATGGATTTAAAAATGTTTCAATTTATGAAAGTTGATGGAGTATTTTAATGGACTTTACAGAAGTATGATTTATTAAGGGTTAAATACTCTATGAAATTCCTTCAAATTTACTAAAATGTATCATTTTAAAATTCTTTAAAATCAAATTATTACTAATTAATACACTCTAACTTTCTTAGACTTTTTCAAAATCTTCTTTGAATACACTCAGATTTCTGTTGACTTTTATAAAATCCTTTAAAATTTTAATTGATTAATACACCTGAATTTGTATGGAGTTCTATAAGCTTGTTTAACATTCTGACTGAATATTCCTGAACTTTTATAGATTCATTTACAATTCTAATTGAATACACCTAAAAACAAATAATGCTTGTGTCCTCCATAGGGAACCAACTTGTCCCTTCACTTATGATTTACGCATCTTCACCATATGAACATTATTATTTGACCCGTTCATTCTCTTTATCATCATCGAAATATCATATCTAAAAAAAATATTCCATTTGGAGATTGTTTACCCATCCATATATGTCAAACCAATCAATGTTTTTGGTAACAAGTAACATCCTTATGATGAACCGTCTATTTGTATGATACATATGAATGGCTAAAAAAATATCTCAATTTAATGAGTTTTTGCATATATGATCTTTCGATGATGACAAAGAGAACGAACGGTTCTGATTATGATGTTCATATAGTAAAAATGCGTCAATCATAAGTGGGGGAACAAGTAGGTTGCTCCATGAACTACCACAGCGGTCATGATGACCACATCCCCCGCAATTAATCAACTCGAGGGTTTATCAAAATTTATAATACTTTTAAAATTCTTCAAAATTCCACTTGAATCTTTTTAAACTTTGTATTTGGGAAACTTTTGTTTAGTACCATATATAACAATCAAGGCCTATCCTGAGTTTTATGAGGCCCTAGGCGACATTGAAAAATATGCCCTAACATAACTTCACATAAAATAATTATTTATCTTAGTATTCGTATGTTGTACATTGAATATTAAAGAAAATAGACCTTTTTCACATTATGACTTTTTTGACAAATGATAGGGTAATTTACACTGAACTCATCAGAAATACGGTGAGGAAATTTGAAAACGAGTCATTGAGTGACAAGCTGAACACTTTTAACTAACTGATCTACAAGCTACTTGCACATTATGAAACTTTTGAAATGAAATTTTCATATTTAAGATCTCTAATTTCTATATGTAAGCAACAAATGAAAACAACAAATTGCTACTACCAAATGGCACATAGTAATTCAACTATGTTTTTGTTTTTCGAGCGCTCATGAAAAGTTGCGGTTCATTCCAAATATATAAAATCATAAGGGAAAAATTATACAAAGAAGTGTAGGATGATATTTTTGGATTGTCAATAACAATACTTCGTTCAATAAAAAGATAATGATCACAAGTTTATTACTTAACCATGAAAAGATTATCAACAAATATAAAAAACCTAAATTTATATTTAGACAAACTTGAACATGATTTTGCGAGTTAATTCAAACTGAAAACAAAAAACGACTACTGAAAAGGCCACATTTAATAAGCTAATTAATGTTTGTTTGTTATTTAAAGTAGACATGAATAAAATAGAAGGGAAACTACCCCTTTATGTTGAGAGAGGGAATTAAACCTAGGTGGGCACGGAAAAACCAAATAAAACCACCGTCATCTAAAACATATTGCTATTTAATATGAGCGTTTACTCTATATCAAGAATAAAACAAAACCTTATACATATATGAACCAACTTAATTTTTTTTTGGTGCCCCTCGTTTTTTTGGACCTCGAGCGGTCGCCCTGGTGACACTGGGCCAGGGCCGACTCTGATAACAATCTACAACACGTAATGCATTGTTGATGTTTTTTAAGAGAGATGCAGAAGTATTGTACTTGATACCAATTAATCAATCAGTGATCGTATTGGAACTTTATATTGAATATGTAAAAATAGCCAGGATTGTTGTTTTGGATACAAGTACAATATTATACACACTCATAATAATAACTGCAATAATATAGAGTGATGCTATTGCTATTTAGATAGACTTGCTCGGAATGGTCCAAATAGTTTTTTTGAATTCAAATATATTTCTATCGTGTATGTTTTCTTTCTAGATCATGGCATGGTATAACCCTTTGCTATCTCAAAGGGACGGCTCATGCATGTCACCATGCAAACGTACGTTATCCACTTTTCAAATGCATGTGTGCTTACACCTTGCGTGTTTATTTGAATTTTGAACACACCACGAAATGATGAGAAAATACATTTTCGATTATAAAAAGTAAATCTTGTGCTTTATTTCTAGAGCTTTGAATTGGCTTAAGGGTCACGTAAAGAATAAGATATAGCCAAATGAAACATTAATTTAATAAAATAAAGGTGATGATGAAATTGGAGTTCCTCTATAAAACCAATTGGCAATATGAGAAGTAGCCCAAGATCATATAAGCACATAGCAAACATTGTCCCTCACCGATGTGGGACAACTCTCAACATGCCCCCGCACGTGTGGTGGATTTTCAAGCCTACACGTGGACAACAACTAGGTGACGTGGAGCGCGTGTGGCCGTTTGGCTTCACACGAGGACAATCCGGTCTGATACCATGATGAAATTGGGGTTCCAACATAAAACCAATTAGCAATATGAGAAGTAGCCCAAAATTATATAAGCACAGAGCAAACATTATCCCTCACCGATGTGGGACAACTCTTAGCAGGTGAAGCATCCACATTTATTTCATGCACTAGCCTCCAGGGGGATTGATTAGATTGCCGGTATGTTTGGTTGTTCACGACATCGAAGAAAATTTGGTTCATTGTATTTGTTATAGGGTTTTCTGCTCTGCTGTTTTGGTTTTTATCCAAAAGTTTTACGGGTTTAGCAGTTATAATTGTAAAAGAGAAGAAAGATTCACATGAAGAGTTCAATGTAACTTCATGTTCTATATTCAATAATACATTGTTATATACGAGTTTTTTTTTTTCCACATGATAATGTAGTATTAAATTGAGGCACGTGATGGTGAATTTGTCATATATCTATATCTATATCTATATATATATATATATATATATATATATATATATATATATATATATATATAAAAGTTTCTCTCTAAAAGAGAACACTTTTGTTCATGGTGTCTACGTGTCCTGATTGAATGTGCAGAAGCATGCGGTTTAAGCAAGGAGGTAGATTGTTTGCCCTACTGTTATGACGCTCTTCTTATTCCTTCCTATTTGTGCGGTCACAGTTAAGCCACATCAACATTTTATATTAATAAAGATAATAAAACAAAAATAATAAGAATATAAAATATTGACGTGACTTAACCGTGACCGCACAAATAAAAGAAGATGAAAACAGCACCATAACAGGGCAGACAATCTGCCTCCTTTAAGCAATGATAGCCTCACAAAAACCCGAGTTGTCGTCAGATGTTTACCGACTTGTTGGAATGTTGAGGGATAGGTTTGGATTAATTTGTAATAGAAAACACACCTGCAACAAAATTTTGGCACTTCTTTTTTCTACTTTTGACCTTCAAAGTTTGTTCTTAGCTAGTGGCCAAGAAAACCCTTGTGACTTTTTCTTCTTCAAGGAAGAATTCTTCGATGTATCCGGAATAAGAACATGTGATGTTATTATTTAACTTAAATTATAATAATTTAATTCAGTAAATTTTTATTTATTTTTATATTTTATGAATATACTCTAAAGATATCAACTATGTCATGATTAGAATTTAGAACATGTAGATTGGTATACACTACATAACTTGTATTTCCGATATCCATAAAAATTTTAACTTAGTTTTAGTTATAGTTTATTGGGAAGGCATGCAAAATCACTAAGATTAGGTCATTAACTGATGCAAAAGATTTTCCCACATAGGGTTTTTTTGGGTTGTTCATTTTATTTTAGCATCCCACATACGGCTGCCAAGTGTATTGTGTATTAGCCTATTAGGCTACAAATCATCAGTAATTACTCTCAGAAAACGTACTAAAATGGTTATCTTTGAGTTTAATCTTCTTGATCACACATCATGGTATGGAGCTAAAGCCTAAAAATATTTGATTAGGTATGTAACTACTGCCTTATCCTAATCATGTATTTATCAGGCAACTTAACTAAGATAAGAAAGAGATTACGTACGTACGATGGGTGATAATTGTAGGAATGGTTTAAGTTAATCCATGCATTGTGAATCATTTGTGAGCATACATTCTTTCAAAAGTTAGGCCAAAATATTAAGGTTTGCTTATTGTTAACGAACTTGCCCATGCTTATCGCCAACTTAACATGGGTTAGCTGCTCACCATTTTGCACGTTACGCCCTCTCCTCTTCATGTGATTGCTCAAAGTTCGCGGAACCACTTGATGTCATTCTGTTAGGATGCCAAGTGGCATCACTTAGTTAGCCAAGTGTCAATTGTTGAGTTGGATTTCTTTAGCTTGCAACCAGCTATATAAGCTGAGACGTGTGCAGATGCAAATGATGAATGAATATTTGATTGTATTAGTGTTCTTGTTAGTATATCTTGCATTTGACTAAAGGTTGAAGTGGCATTCTATCACATTCTTGATGTCCTACTGTCTGAAAGTTGTAACTAATGCTGTCATGTGCTGGAGTCTTTCCCAGCCCTTTGTTTTTTGTCTCATTTGCTGGTGTTTTGCTTCCCAGCCTTTTTGTATTGGTTCCCATGGAGTTTTATCCAATTTGAAATATATATGCCCCAGCTTTCAAAAAAAACAAAAAAACAAAAAAAAACAAAAAAGAGGAACACTCCAAACTGTTAATTATGTTCTATAATTGTAACCAAATTAATAAGATAAGATAAATATGCTTGTTCATTTTGTGGTTCAATACTTGATTCACCACTAAAAATTTGCAAGTGTTAAAGAATTAGGTTGTCTAATTTATACATAAATACATCATTTGTAGCAGTATTCGTCTCTGCTTGTGAGTGAGAGATATTAAATTTAATTCTTATAGAGAGTGGCGAGTTCAAAACTAAATTATTATGATTGTGTACATTATTCTCTAGCTAAATAGCCAAAATGGTCATTGAGATTTGCATAACTCATCACTTTGGTCCCTAACATTTCAAATCGATAAAAGCGGTCCCTGAGATTGTCCACCATCCATCACTTTGGTCATTCCGTTAAAAACTCCGTTAAGTGTCCCAGAACTCTTGGCTGGAAATTTGGGCAATTTTCAAAGCTTCGTAACTCAATCATTTTTTAACCAAATTCAACCCATAATATATCAAAATGAAGATAGGAAAGTGTAGAATACGATTATACCTATTTGGAAGCCCAATGACTGCCGGAGATAGCAGGAAAATAGCCTCAAAGTTGACTGGTCCGAAGGAAAACTAGAAAACTTGCCAGAAACTGGGTAAATTTTAAACGTTCATAACTTCTTCAATACTCAACGCAATCAAGTGATTCAAAAATGAAAATCATACTTCTCGACGAGATGAAGAGAATGATACCTTTTTCGATGGCTAAATCGTTGTGGTTTGGCCGGAAAAAGACTCGAAAGTGGCTGTTTTGGTCTCAAGTTAGCCACTTTCGAGCTGTTTTCCGGCCAAAACACGGTGATTTAGGCTTCTTCAAGGTACCATTCTCTTCGTCTCATCGAGAAATATGATTTTCGTTTTTGAATCACTTGATTTTGTTGAGTATTGAAGAAGTTATGAACGTTTAAAGTTTCCCCAGTTTTCGGTGAGTTTTCCAGTTTTCCCTCGGACCAGTCAACTTTGAGGCTATTTTACGGCCATCTCTGGCCGCCATTGGGCTTCCAAATAGGTATAGTCTTATTCTACTCTTTCCTATCTTTATTTTGATATATTATGGGTTGAATTTGGTTAAGAAACGATTGAGTTACGAAGCTTTGAAAATTGCCCAAACTTCCGGCCAAGAGCTCCGGGACACTTAACGGAATGACCAAAATGATGGATGGTGGACAATGTCAGTGACCACTTTTATCGATTTGAAATGTTAGGGACTAAAGTGATGAGTTATGCAAATCTCAGCGACCATTTTGGCTATTTAGCCTTATTTTCTTAGCCCAAAACCTCTCCTTCATATAAATATTATTGTATATGTAACAAATATTATTAACTGGAATGAGGATCCTTTTCGGATCCTTTTTGTGAGGATCCTGGAGATCCTCCAATCATGTATGTTCATTGTATATCGTGCAGTCAGAAATTATCTTAAATTTTTTTATATTTAAAATTGAACATAAATAGTACCTGACGAAAACTGGCTGCTCGATGAACATACATGATTGAAGGATATCTGGAATCTTCACAAAGAGGATTCTCATTCTATTAACTGGACCAAAAAGAGGCTAAAAGCCGGATTAGTAGATTAACCCAACTATAGCATTCAAGGCCTAACGGTTGCCTCATCCTGTTCGGTATTGTAGGTCAGTTCTTTCTCAGAAGCCCATTAAACACAAATCTCTTTTTTCTTATTTTTGGTATATGCCAGCCAACTCATTTCTCTTTTCAACTCAGTTTCATCGCATCTTACTTATTTGGAATCCAAGAAAGTTACGAATAGAGATTGCTCATGTAGCGGGTAAAAGTTTTTCCTTTGTAATGATACCTAGTTGTTCAAATGTTAGATAATTGATTTTAATGAGGGATTCGTTCATTTTTTATTCTTTATGTGTTGTAAAACGCGTGATATGTCAAAATATAAACAATGAAAGAAAAGCACATCACACATATTTTGACTTTACACTAGTAGTCTGAACTAGTTCGCAGTGTAATGAGATCGGACAACCCAGCATTATAGTCGACAAAATGCTCGTCCAAATAGTTCGATTACAAAGTTTTTTTTTTTTTTTTTTGGGGATTGAGAGAAGAAGAAGAAAGCGTAGTGTGCAGTTTTGTTGATGAAAGTGTTATGATTGACACTCCAAAATAATCATCAGACTTGCATGAGAAAAATATTGCGAAATAGATTTAATTGAAAACACAAATAAAACGGTCAAAAGCCAATAGTGTTAGATTCCACGTCGTCTAGGAGAGTGAATCCTTTATGCCTTATATGTACATACTCATCTCCTTTAGCACGAGATCTTTTGGGAGCTCACTGGCTTCGAGTTTCGTAGGAAGTCCGAAGTTAAATGAGAATGGGCCAGAGCATTCCCAGGATGGGTGACCCACTGAGAAGTTCTGCTCATGTGAGTTCCCATAAACAAAACCGTGAGGATGTGGTCGGGGCCCAAAGCGGACAATATCGTATTACGGGAGAGTCGAGCCCAGGTCCGAATGTGACAAATAGTGCCCTAACTTAGGTGGGTAAAGAGGACATTACGTAGATATGTTTCTTTTTGTTGGAGAGAGTTGTTATTCCCACCCCAATGTCTTGTCTTCCCACCCACATTTTTATGAAATTTTTAATTACAAATTTGTCCATTTGTAAAATGACTAATAAGGACCTTAGTTACCCCCTTTTGCATTACTTTTTTTTTATATAAAAAAGAAAAAAGAAAAGTTGGGATGTGATAACTCTCACGCTATGTTTAGAAACTATCTCTCTTAAACCCTAACTCATCATTCCCATTTCCTTTCATTTCATATAAAGCAAAAAGAATGAACTTAGAAGATGACTTTTCTATGGAAGAAGTAGATGATTATGTTTCCGTCGAAGAGGTAAAAGATCATTTTATGTGGATCATCTTGATTTGTCAACATCATACAATTGAAGCACAGCTCTGTGACTATTTATTTGAATTTGCATTAGGTTAGGATGTAATTTGTTTCACGTTTTCCTATAAGAATTCCTGGAATTCGTTTTCATTAGGTTAGGGTAAATTTGATTTTTAATGAGTTTTCCTTTGGAATCCACATGTGTTAAGTTAGAATTGAAGTTGAAGTAAGTTTCACTTGTTGTATACTGTTGTCATACAGTAAATTTGTTTTTTAATGAGTTTATAACAATACAAAAAGGCATTGACATGTAATTGAAATAAAATAAAACAACTAGAACGAACCCAGAAAGTAAAAATGTGCAACAAAGCAAGAGAATCTCCAACATATGTGGCAAAAATGAAAAATGCATATGAAAAAGAAAACAAAAGGGGAAAAGCAAAGAACGAAAACCCAGAATTCTTCATTCCCACCCCAATTGGAATTTGGATAGGAAACGGCTTTTTATTTTATTTTTTGGCTTTTAGATGAGAGTAATAGTATTTGTTTATATTCTTTTTTAAGAGAAATTTATCTTTAATGATATATATAGGGTTATTTTAGGAATAATAGTGAGTAAAAAAAAATATTTTAATTTTTTAACTTTTTATATAAGACAACATGATGAATTTAGCAGCCCTCTCCTGTTGGAGGTTTGTCTGTGTAAATCGGTCCAGTGAACAGACAGTATATACGACTTTATACGTATTTATTGCCCCCATTTCAATCATAATCCCTTCCTTTTTTATGTCATTGTTTGCTCTTTTGACTGACGCTCCCTGTGTGTCTCAGTCTGGGGACAGGGGGGAGAGAGAGAGAGAGAGAGAGAGAGAGATGGAGGGAGGGAAGAGGGCAGATGAAGCAGGGGCATCATCGTCAGGTGGGTTTTCATCAGCTGGGGCTGTAAGTGATCATGGAAGAGGAAGACAAGAAAAGCAGAAGGAAATGGCTGAAAAGCTGAGTGCTTTTTGTGATGCTGGGGGAGAAGAAGAGGAAGAAGATGATAAGAGTAATGAGGTTGCTGCTGCTGCTGGTTTTGTTCCTGGGCCTTTGGTTTCTCTCAAGGAACAGATTGAGAAAGACAAGGTACTCTCTTGATTCTTCTCTCTTTTGGTAAAGAATTTGGGTTTGTATTATTGTTTGATTGAATATGTGTAATGGGTTCTTTGGGAATTTTCTTGGAACTCAAATGATGGTTGTGTTTGGTATCTCAGAAAATGCAGAAAAAGAAAAGAAAATGGTCTTTACTTTTTTCTGATCTCATTTTCTTAGCTTTCTGAATGTGTGACCCCTGCCATTGCCCAAGCATTTTTTGAATTTTTAATCTCAGTTATGTCCAATCCAATTAGATCAATTAGTTAGTTTGTGTGAAATGGAAAATCCAAGTGTTTGGAGTTTACCAATTCAAGTTTGAAGCTACTTGGCTGGACAGGATGATGAAAGCTTAAGGAGGTGGAAAGAGAAACTGCTCGGTTGCTTGGAAATGGAAAGCGATTTGAATGGTTTGTTTTTCGTGTTTCTTTGATACTCGGTTCTTTATTCCACAGCTACTTTGTTGTGGTTTTTGAATCTGTTGTCTGATGTTTTTTCTAAGAGTCTTTTGTTTGGACTTTGATTAGGCCAAATGGAATCTGAAGTCAAATTTCACTCCATCGGAATCATCTCTGATGACTTTGGGGAAATCACCACTCCCTTACCTGTTGCAGAAAATCAGATCAACCGTGTCCTGTTTACATTGCAAGAGGGATCTCAATATCGCCTTAAGCTAACATTTAGCGTTCTGCACAACATTGTTTCTGGCCTTATCTACTCCAACACAGTGTGGAAGGGAGGACTTCAAGGTAGTTAATAGTGTGTTATCATCTTGTCTAGAAGTTTTAAGCGCAATAGAGACGGTTGAAAGCATATGAAACTTTTGGCTAAACCTTAAAGGCAGTAACGTAATTATACTACTGAAATATGTTAACAACATGCTAATGTAGAAGGAGGTGAGACTAGTCAAGCATAGAATGCTCATTTGCACCACCTGGGATTAGGTTTTATCATCTTGTATGCTAACTGTTATTCCAATTTTTTTTACTCTCTTATTTGTCAGTCGATCAGAGCAAAGGAATGTTGGGTACGTTTGCTCCTAACAAAGAACCATATGTGCACACTTTGGAAGAGGAGACCACTCCATCTGGGTTGCTTGCAAGGGGCATATATGCAGCAAAGCTTAAGGTGCGTGGCAGTTATTACATGTGTTTATTCAGCAAAAAGCATTTTTGTGCAGCGAGCTAAATTTGAGATTGAAAACTGTGTAAATAATATCAAACCTCGTTCTTTCTTTTATATTTCGATTAACAATCAACGGTTTGTTCATTCACATTTCGACTAGGAGGAGAAGATGTGCCTATTTTGAGATTTCTTAATTTTGCAGTGGTGACATCAGTCGTAATATCACTAGGGTTTCAGTAGTATAACAAAATATGTATTGATGTTTCTTCCTCCGTTTCAATTTTATGCAGTTTGAAGACGATGACAGGAGATGCCATATGGAACTTCAATACTCCTTCGAGATCAAAAAGGGCAGATAGCTGAAATCTTTTGGAAGATCCGGCATCTTTAGATTTATTTCTTCCTATTTTTCTTTCATCCATGAACCACACATCTTTGTTATATAAGCGTTTTCCTTGTAGGGGTGATTGATACAAATGTAAAACTGGATTATTGTTCTGTTTCCTTTGGCTTGTGACACAAATGTAGAATTTTGCATACCATTGCTGTTTGAACTTTGAACCCGTCTTTGTTTTTCTCCGGGATGTCATGAAAGTATCGTTCGGAATACTCGAAGTTAAACGAAATACGGCAGAAGAGAACGAGTTTTCTTCGCTTGAGTTCTTCTCAACTAAGCAAATGTTCAACAAGGATTTCTAGTTACTTGAAAGGCTTCAAGATAACGTTTATGGATTTAAAGGTACAAAATCCGCCCCCAAACCATCACATTTCGAGAAAATTTTCCAACACGTACATACAAAATGCAGAAGAATGACATTGTATTCTGTAAATGCAAATGTTATCACCTAGTTCAGTGGGATCTCGAAGATCGACTTACTCTAGTTCCATACGTCTTTATCCGTACGTGATTTAGTAGTAATACGAGTAAACAAAACACATTTATTGGCAAGAATCTCATAACAGACTAGGTTAAGCACAAAATAAAAGTATACAGCGTGAGAGAGTTTGGGAGGGCTGAGCGGCGAGCAAATTAGATTCAGCAGTGCAGTCCTCCAGCTGCAAAAATCGACTGAAGACAAAGCTGAGGCGCCGAGTTAGGTTCTACCAACAAAATCATCAAGCCTTCTGGAGATCTGAGATGCAGTCCCGACTTTGCTTGATACAAAAGGGAATTGCTCAACTGTCGAGAGTTTTTCGGGAGACGAATGAGACCACTCATATGTGAACGGTATGCGCCTCCAATCTTGAAAATATCATCAGAATAGTTAAGGTTATAGTAAGTAATACATTCGAAGTTAAAATTGTAGGACAATGATACAGGGGTATAGTGTGACTTATGCAGAACTAATCTTTTAGAGAGAAGATAAAGAAGAAAGAGATACCTCCTAATCTACAAATAATGCGAAAGAAGATCTGCTGAAGAATTCTTCAACCTACAGCTCTGTCCTAAATGGACATCTCCGAAAAGGTATCTGCATCATCAAGCTTGAAAATTAAGGGGTGAAAAGGAAAACTTAAACTTTTGGAAAAGACTTGTGAGTTTATAAAACAACAAACCTATATTCACAGTAATCCGTCCATGCACATCGAGCTTTTCCATAATCCCAATAACAGTCCTCATCCCTCAGAGGTCCACGCTTGGCTGTTGCAGATTTTATAAGTCAGAAAGACAGCAACACTGCCCGAAGGGAGGAGGAGACAGAAGGCGAAGAAGAGAAGAAGCATTCACCTTTAGTAACAAATGTTGATTTCGCATCGGGATGGATATCATGCCACATTTGAAGCCACAACTCTCTCATTAAAACCGGGGATCTAACAATGTTCCTATGATTCGCTACATTAAGATAGTGTTACCAAAGATGGTAAATTAAACAAGAACTCTTATTTATATGCAACAAATAATCATAGAATAATTACAAGAGAGTGGAAACTGGAAACCTTTATCTATCTCCCAGACTGCCGTCCTTTTTCCCGGTATACTTTCAGAATCTTCATAGAAAGTTATGTACTTGACCCTTGGCAACCTTGTCATGTTGGGCAATATATCTTCTTCATGATGATGTTCCACGTTCGACTCCACTTGCACATCAGAACCATCATGCTCCGACTACAACATTGAGAAAACGAATAATAAAAACTCACATACAAGGCCACTTTACCGGTGAAGAGGCACATCAAACTTACTGATGAATATTCTCATTTTCTTTTCCTAAACAGACAAATGAAATGAGTTATTTCAGACAAACTCATATGCAATAAACTCAAAGGAGAGACAAATACCTGAGGAGCTCTAGTTATGTTTACTTTTGGTCCAAGCCAATTCTTGCACCAAGAAAGAGAATGGTACGGGACCTGTTAAATATCGTGTTTCCAAAATGCTGAGTATGCTATTCCAAAACCAGACTAAGAAAACAATAATGAAGCAGGAGAATCTAACTTGAACCATGAAAGAAGTTTTAACTCACAGTCTCATCCCCGCTTGAAGCTCCTGCATTTCCATCGACAAGATTCCCTGACCTAAAAGAATATGGAATTATCAACTGTAGAGTTTTCATATAGGAATGTAACACTCTGAACGTATGCCATTTTTCAAAACACCATTTGTACAATAATTAGGTAATTGACAGATAGAGAAATAATAATATGTTGATCTCCATGTGCTTCGCTTACGCGATAAAGTCAACACCTCGTGATGTTTTACCACATAGACCCATACAGAAGGAGAAAGAGATCTACCAGTTAAGTACATATCACATTTGATGATGCGTTTGCAGTAAATTTATTCAAGTGACATAGATGTACCAGGTGTACTTGTGTGTAGTATGGAAATAATAAAATAAGGAGGAAACTTACCTTGAGAACAAGGAACCTTCAAGCTCATAAATCACATCGGTAGTGATCCAATTATCAGGGTAGGGCTTGCCACTTGGTGCAAAATAGTAACCAACCTGTTTTTCCATGCCAAGATACCAAAACTATCATTCACCACAACACCGTTACCAGCTAAATGTAGAACAGGCACCAACATATCCCTATTCATAAGAAAAAGATATCTTAGGATGAATAGAATCTAGCAGCTTTTCTTATTGTTGTTAAAACCTATTGAATAATGAATCTGAAGAGTAGCAGCAAGTGCATCTTATAAGCAAATATGACTTGGTAATAATAAAATAGAATTCTTTCAAGCATGGAAAATACTATGAAACAAAGCACACAAACGTTATATTTCCAAATTCACTACTTTGATAGGAAACCAACAACAAAAAACAAACAAGAACGCCAATTATGTGAAGTTGCTTCAGTCATGACAAAAAGAAATATACTATTCACTATGACATGGAAAATATACCTCAGTTTTCAAGTCTGTTCCGTAGATACAAAATATATTTTTTAGAGGTGGCCTGTCCCATGGTGAAAGCGGATTTAAAACTGGATCATCATGATATAACCTGAAAAAACAGTGCAGTTGGAAAGCTGAGACAGACAACAACATTTTATATGCTTGCAAAAAGGTCAAAACTTTTTTATTTTTTTATTTTTATTTTTTTATTTTATTTTAATAGAAGCAGAAAGTTAAGGGGCAACATGCATAACAGAGATCATTTATCCATACAGAACCCGGGAACTACAGTCAAGATAGCTTAATCTTTGATGTCTACCCGGTAAAATATTGGAAAAGAAAATAAGGATATACAATGAAAAAGAACTACATATTGTGTGGCAAAAGGTGTCCTTTGCCAATGGAATTTAATGGTGTTGCCTACCCTAGGTACTGGAACACTAAGTTAACTAATCGATGAAACTATTGAAGACAACTTGAAATTCATGCCACTAACACAAAGAAACTGAAGTCTAGAAGTTGTAAAGGATTAAGTTTCGACCCAGCAACACGAACAACAAAAGTTGTTACACAAAGGCATCCAATGTCAGAAAAACAAGCAAGCAAAATGATACTTCATTATGATTATATATCAAACTACTCACTTCTTTAATTGATGCAAAATCCTCTTCATGTCCGGGTCATAATCCTCTATTGCGTTGAAAAAGGTCCCATCTGATATTTCGCGAGCAGAGAAAGACAATTGGGTAGGAAGTCCACATTCTATGCTAGACAAGTTAGCCTCAGCTATTTCTGTAACTGATGGATACGCTCCAAATCCTGTCAACATAAGATGCAAAGAGTACCTATGAAAAACAACATCGCAACCAAAAAAAATGCATCATGATCAAAATTTTACCAGGGATTGAAGGAATTTCAATATTGATAATATTTGTTGGCCATCCAGAAAAGTTAAAGTGAAATTCCCTGTCATCACAGTGATAATTATGATGACCATTCTTGTCCCTGATATCCGCAGAGAAATGTTTCCAGTATGTATTATCTGCCCTGCAATACTTTGAAAATGGCAACATCCATAACGTGGAAGCAAATGAATTGACCATCAACCGAGCTGTGCCCTGATAATCGGAAACATATATAACATGAACCATGTTACAACATGAAACTGCATCTAAAAGAAATTATCATGAATATCCACCATTTCCAAACAAGATCGGCATGAAAAGTGATTTTAACTGATTGTCATATGCATTTATTTCCCTTTGAGTTTACAGAGCATGATCAAGATGATATAATTTTGGGAATTCTTACATGTATTTACATATCTGAAGCGTAATGACTGAAAAAACAACAATTGGTTTGTTCAATTTTTTCCATAAGCCATTAGCAAATACTTAAATAAAAAGTAAAACAAAAGCTACAATTCCATCTTGGAGGAGTAAAGAAAAAAGAAAAATAAACAAACTATTTTTGAGGATGTTTATCAACGAGCAAAAAAGGGTACCTCAGAAATAGGAAGGCCAAATGTTAATCCAGAAAGTGTTCCTTTGACTGCCTCGACTGCACCAAGAAGTGGAGCTCCTGGAACAAAGTCAACAAAACAAACTAGATAAATATAACACATGATTCTAAGCAACAAAACTTTCAAAGTAAACAGATTTTGATGCAAACCAACCGTACCAACGGCAAAATAGGCATGAATGTGCTCATCCAGCCATTGGATATAATGTTTTGGTGCAATTTCCAGCTTTAACCATTCCAAAAAGTAGCGGAAGACATGATTCCCTAGCGAATGGGCAAACACTACCGAGGGCCCTCCTCGAAGTTTCAGCGCCGTTTCAAATGTTAATCTGCATTTTTAATATTTTTTGTTCACATGATGAAAAGTCCAAGCATAATTAACAAGTTAGCATATGAACATCATTTGACACTAACACTTCCGGTTATTGTATCAATGTGGAAGTAACGAAACGAAGAATTCATAGAAGAACATAAAATAAGTAGTAAAAACAGCATGAACTTCAGATAAAAATACAAACTTTAGCTTGTGAAAGTAAAGGTCTCGCTCCTCGAGCTTAGACGGCGACAGCCTCCAGTCGTACGGCACAGCAATGATTGCATTTGCCTCGATTCCGAATTCAATACACCATTTCACCCATTCTTTCCACACCGAAGAAAGCGGACCTGTTCCGAAAAGATTAAGAAAATAAACAAAGCAACGAGCTTGAAAATATGA